TTTTGCTGCCTGTTGCAGCGCTCTAGCGCTGCACGGCAAAAACGCATAAAAACCGATGCCGGTAGCTAGAAAAACTGCGGGGAATTCTGCAAAAAACGCATCTTCGCACGGGCAGCCCGTGCGTTGGCCAATTATTGGTGTAAATGCGAAAAAGATGTAGTGAAAGAGAAACTTACACCAGGAGGTCCAACAGGGCCTGGTATAGGAGGATTTGCAATAGGCGAGTGACCGGGGTCACCTGGTGGTCCAGCAATGCCGGGAGGTCCTGGTGGGCCCAGCTGACCTGCAAAATTTATTCACTGAAAATTCCAACCCGACTCTGTAAATTTTAAGAGATAATTAAGCCAAATCGACTAACTTATAGTTGTACTACTGCCGCACTTTCCGGCAACAAATTTTAAGCGTTTAAAAATAATTGTACCTTTCGGGCCTATAAGCCCATCGCTTCCGACTTTTCCAGAAATTCCTGGAATTCCTTGTGGTCCGGTATCACCAGGCGGTCCTACTGGTCCACGAGGTCCTGGGGGACCTGGTGGACATATCGGACATGGAGGTGGCGCTGAAAAAGTGAAATAACTAGAAATCGCTCTTTTTAGGTCTGGAAAAAAATAAGTGAATAGTTTGGAGAAAAGTCATACCGAGACAAGCAAATGACGGCCTTCTCAGTTGACCGTGTTTCCCCGGAATTCCTGGAATACCTGGTTTCCCTGGAAGTGTAAAAATAAAACGCTTCGATGACAATAATTAGCATAAAGTCTGTTTTACACTCAATTTTCCATGAAGACGGGGAACCCACGAAATTTGGTACCACCGAATGTACCCACTGATCAAAATGCAGGAAGTCTGAGATGATTGTATACAAGAATAACACCTATGTAGTGGAGCACTAGGCTTGCAATGTGACCGTGCGTTTTTATACAAAAAATCGAAGTGATCAGATGGTCCGCAGTACAACTGGCTGTTGCTTTACAGTTTAACATATGCATTCATCTTGGCAGTGTTACTGTTCTTCCTGCATACAGGAGGAAAAAGAGGTCAGCTGGGATGACAGTATTACGTAACGAGACTGTTAATCTTAACCTCCAACATGTATGATTACTATAAATTTTGCATAAACGGGAATAAAAAATTGGCTACTATTGGCTAGTCGTTGAAAGCGTAAATTGATCAAGGAGCAAGATGTGGAAAGGATAACGAAACGGCATAAAACATTCGCACATCCATACGTGAAAACCAAGCACATTTAGGAATTGAATTTGAAACCGTACGTTTCTGCCAAAACTTTCACATGCCAGGACGTAAGTGCCTTGCCAACCCTAGGGGATGAATTCAAAATCTTTAAATCGTGCTTGGACGCGGAGCAACCCATCAAAAATCCAGCCGTCCAGCTTCTCTGGTTTCCGTGTTACCAATTTTTCGGCCAAAAATTACGTGCTTATATGGAGGCTTAGGTGTGCGTGAAAATTGGTGCCACGATTCTAGAGTGGTACTCACTGATGAAACTCCAGCGCTGAAAACTGCTTGGTTGCCGAGTTGAAATACCCGGACAGACAGGCAGACAAACACACACAAAAACATACAAACATCCCCCACCCCCTAAGTCGTCACACTATGCATTTTTGCATTTGCATACGCGCAAAAACGCACAAAAAACAGCTGAAATGCTTCGTCCGTTTTTCGGCATCAATGTTCTGTTAATTTAGTTCCAGGATTCCTCTGCACCTCCAGTTCATTTTTTTATAATCAGAAGTTAAATGGATAGTTTACTGGAAGAAAGAAAAGTTTTCCGGACTTACCGTTTTTTCCAGGCCTTCCTGGTGCTCCTGGTGGCCCTGGGACGCAGCAATCGCACGATGTGTTCAACAGCTAAATTGATTTTTCATTATGCATGAGATAATTAGAGACAGTGAGATTTTGTTGTACCTAAGCCCATTTCACTGTGTGCCGTTTTGCTTCTAATGTGTTTGCATTGAAGATTAGTGACCAAATTTGAATTTTACTGTAGAATTTTGATGAAGTTTGTTACCCATAGTCTATCCGATGCACTTGTGCTTCCTCTTCAAAGATGCCGGAGTGGTCGTTTACTTTTTTGCGGGAAGTACTGACCAATGCGCGACGAAAAATTTAATAATATTTTCAAAAAATTTCCATTTCTCTTTTACTAGTATTTTTTCTGTTTTATTTTTGTTTTTCACTATTATTATTATTGTTATTAATTATTAATATTACTATTATCGACTTTATTGTTGCCAAAAATTTTTAAATAAAATGCATTTTTTAAGCGCTGCTTATTTTCACAATACTTGCCTTATGTAAAAACTGTTTAATAGAGTAAGTACGAAGTGGAATTATACCGCATTTTGAGAATATTTATTCGGTTGAAGAGTGTTGTAGGTTTCAAATGGATATGCATATGGTGTATGTGGATATCGTTTACGCCGTGCCCAAGCATTTTCTTTCGCTAATGAGCCGTTTTGCAACATCGATGCTGCTATCTCATTGAATTGATCCACTTCATCTGATAGTTCAACTAGTGCTTTCTGAAAATACAAACGAACAAAAGCAGTTTAATCATAGATGTTTATTGAAATGCAAAAAAAGATGTGCTGATTATCAGAATTGAGCGGAAATTTGAAAATTTAACACCATGCAAATTTTGCGCATTGCTGATGAGCACCAAAATTGCGACAAAGACAGTATACGCAAATTCGGGCTGGGACGCGTCAGGTGGGCCCTTGTGATCATGTGTTTTGCACCGGACTTGAAGTACTCGGGTAATTAACTGCGTAAGTGGTTCTTGCTTTACACCTGCCTTCTGCGGTCACTAGCATAAATCGCTATAAATTTTACATAAAGTAAATAATGTACAATTTCCATTTAACGGTCGTCCTTTAAAAGTAACCCGGCTGTTCAGTGAGAAATTTTTATATTCCCCCAAAATCCATCCTTCTAGCTTTCTTGGTTCTCGAGTTAGCAATGTTCCCGCCAAAACTTTCATATGCCCTTACGCGAGTACCACGCATAGCTGGGGACTGAATTTGAGATGTTTGTTCCCCCAAAATTTCAGAGTCCCAGCTTTTCAAATTACCGAGTTAGCAGTTTTCCCACCAAAACTTTCATATGCCCATACGCGGATACTTCACTTGTATGGGAAGCTAAATTTGAAATTTTTAAATTGAGCGTAAACAGAGAAAATCCCCTTAAAATTTCAGCCTTCCAGCTTTTCCGGTTGCCTAGTTAACAGTTCTCCCGCAAAATCTTTCTCGTGTTCGCAGTTAAGAACCGCGCATACCTGAGGACTGGATTTATAACATTTAAGTTGTACTTGGACAGGGAACAGTATCCCAAAATTTCGGCTTTTTAGCTTTTTCGGTTCCCGAGTTAGCGGTATTCCTGCTAAAACTTTCATACGCCCTTAAGTGAGTACCACGCATACCTGGAGACTGAATTTGAAAGCTTTGTCTAGCACATGCATAAGGAATATCCCTACAAAGTTTTTGCCCCCTAGCTCGTGTGATTCCCGAGATTGCTTTCCCGCCAAAAAATTTCTATATTTTTTTAAAGCGTCCGTACTCGGCCCCCAGGCGTTGCGGGGATCAAATTAAAAAAAAAACGGGAGGGTTGCATATGGTATGGGTGCATACTCCCAAAGTTTCAGCCTTCTAGCTTTTCTGGTTCTCGAGCTGAAAGTGGGTGACAAAAAGT